ATTTTCCATAAAAGTTATACGTTATAAAACTTAATATTTTTATGGAATTTTTATATCAAATTTTTTATTGGGCATATGATTTGTTCTTCAAAGGAAATGATATAGTTAATGATTTTTTATTAGAGAAACTAATATCTCTTTATTATTCTGTAATTATCAAAATAAGTCACTGGAGATTGCAAGAACTAAGGAATTATTTGTAGAATCTTATATACATAAAATACTATCACTATCTTCGATCTTGATGCTAATTGTGAATTTATATTCAGATATCATGATAAATCTTTTTGTCTCACTTTTATTTGACCAAATTCATCAAAAATTAATACCAGAGCAACCAGTTAAATTAAACATTAATTGTGAATTGACATTTAGGGAAGCCATTAAGATGGCAATGAAAACTTCATATAAGGATGCCATAGTATGGTTACTTGAAAAACTTGTAAACAAAAAAAGTTTGAGAAAGAACATGGGTTATACCATTTTAGATTGTCTAAGAATATTATCTAGTTCAATCATAAAAAGTGATTACAGCAAAATTACTCATATATCAAATTATCTCGATTGCATCATGAGAGGATTCTTTGATGATCTTAATTAACACATTGTATAATGGCCAAATATAATACTAGAGAAATATAAGTTCAGAAAATTTGAAGGTTAGATAAAACAACCTGACTTCAAAGTTTCAGTCATTCATCAGCTATAAATAAAAGCAGTTTTTTTGTAAGAGAAATCAGCCTGTCATCACAAAAAAAATAATGTATTTAAAAACTGTAATAATTTCATCTATGTAGATATCTTCATGAAGGACTGTTTAGATTTAATCATTGATAATAAAGCTGATGTAAAAGTGATAGGCTTTTAATGTGTTAGTAAGCAAATCAATTAATGACTTTATCCTTTATATAATTGTTTTTAATCACTTTTGAAAAATTTTTTTATAGACTACAAAATTGATTTTTATATCATGGATCTAATCAAGGGAATATATATTATAATCTATATCGATCAAATTATATTTCCTACTTCAATAAAAGATATGCTCTCGTTTGTTGATGAAATAGGAATTCTTATAAGAGTATGAGAAATATTTTGTGAATCCTTCAATATTTTATATATAAATTTCTGTCATTCAGGTCTATTACTATCAAAGCGTCATCCAAACAGGACACTCTTAGCACTCTGAAGTTTTGACAGCTACTTAGTAAAATATAATGTAAATAAATTCTTAATGTAATAAAATATTGATTTTTTTACTTTCAAAATAGTTCTTTTCATATCATTAAATAATTTTTTAAGGAATTTAGTTTAAATATAGAGCTGTAATTGTTTGCAAATAATTGTAACTAGTTATAATTTTTATTTTTAATTCAGATAATCAAGAATAAAAATAATAATTGATTTTTTATAAATCAGAAAATTTTAGGATAAAATTTAATAGTGCACTAATAATTTTACTGCAATTTTCTGCATTATTAGCTAGTGTGTAATTTTATTTTGATCAAATAAATATGTTACTAAATAGCAGACATTTATATGTGAAAATATCTACTTTCTATCTTTGATTATAAGCCTATTATATACAGTAAACCTGTACAGTATGGTGAGCAATATATGTATGGTATAATTTTTTTTATATATATACAGTATTAGAAATTATACAAGTATGGACTACTTGTTATGAAAAAACCATACTTGTATAGTTTTTAAAGTATACATACAGTAGCGGTCATAAGTATCTGACTGCTCAAGATCGTTCAAAATTATTATATAACTACCCCTTAAATTTTCCAGAAATATAATGTAACATAATACATGATCACCTATAAATTTATAAGTATCAATAATACAAAAAAGAAAATTTAGATCATCATCAAACTTTCGCTTAAAAAATGGAACTTTCTTTATAGAAACGATATAAAATTGTCTTTTTACGTAAGCACCCAGCTGGTCTAAAGTTTAGTTTTGGATTTATTGCTAAACAGGTACATTGTAGTAAGTCTACAGCTATTTATTAGGTTAAAAGATATC